CAGGAAATGTGCCGGGTCTTAATGCCGTCAAGATAACGAAGAAACATGGACAAAATCCAATTGAATTCAAGTACCTAAATCGATCACTTGAATGCTACGAGTAATAATGAATGATAGAACAGACGAAGCTATTTTTGGCACTCTGGAGAGTGACGCAAAACAGCATTTGTCATATGCATCAACATGAGAGACAGGGTCATCAGTTTCCTTTCTGAGTTCTACCAATAGCATGCCTAAGTCGAAAATGTCTACGAGAGCTGTTTGTCGAGGTTGATTAGTCAAACAAACGACTGGAAGACTTTCACAAACACGCTGTCCATGTTTTCCCAGCAGTTTCAGTTTCCCGAAGACGTCAGTCGTCAGATAATTGGAAAAAGTCGTTTGCATTTTATTCGATCCTTCGCCGCTGGCCGAGTACGAGCCTGCGGCAGCGCGAGAGAAGACAATATGAATGTGAAAAAAAGACCAACACAGCCCAACACCGCCGAGAATGAGAAAATTCACTGCTGTTTACTTAAAACTCAGTAATTCACAACTTAAACAATCGTAATCTCAGACGATGTTTTGAGTGTCAGGAATGTCACTGTAAATTCCGGTTTCAATAGGAGTAAGTTTATTTTTTTTCTAAGATATTTCATTTACATATTGATGCTGTATTTGGCAAAAAAATGGCGACAGATTTCCTTACCTTAAAATCTCGTTCAATGCTCATGATACACTTCACAATCAAAACTGAAAATCCACTTTTGTGCAATGGGCAATCCCTCTAGAAAAAATACAGCCTACACGTTAGCAAAAGGCAAAAAAGGCGAGGTCTTTACTGGACAAAATAACGTTACATTTTGCGCAATGCTGAAGTTGATAGTTAATTGATATCGAAGAATTAATAGAAATTAAATAATTGAATTTAGCTTACTTCATTAAAATCAATTACACCTTTTTCGCAATTTGCTAAGGAATTGGTCGCACGACTATATAAGAAACAAAATTTAAACAAAAACTGCCTAAATTAGAATGGAAGTTGTTCCATAACTGCTTTCTTGGTTGTGATGTGGACAGCACAGCAGCCATATAAGTCTTTTTACAAACAGAACTGGCCATTAATAAATCATGTTCATGGGAGCGGAATGACACAGGCTTGCCAAGTTCGCTACCCACATGTCACGTAAACGAAATTTGATCAGACGCTTTGAAACTTGTTTTTATGCAAAATAAAAAACAAGTTAGCATCAATATTCAATAACACACATGATGACTATAGGTACACAACATTTTTCTACTTGTAGCTACGTTATAATTGTTTAGTTCCTCCCCTCCCCACGAAAGGACTCTGTTTGTCCAAGTGCCTCCAGGGTAAAAAGGAAGATCATACACAGCCATAACTAATAATGTATCTCTTTTAGAATACGGCGAACTCAACACACACAGCTGAATTCCTCTTAAAGAGTTTGCCCATTCCTCCAACCCTCATATGCCACTCGTCTGCCACACGGAGGTCCAGCACTTTAGGCAAACCAGAGCCACAATCATCAAAATAATCCATCACTAATTACAAGCAAAGAGACCTCTTAATTATGCGTACGTACATCATAGCATCCGAAACATGCCACAATATTAATTCTCATTCCTATTATGATGAAAGTGGTAGGTAAACAAATCTGATAACAGACTTGCATTCCACAGGCACTTGAAAACGAGAAACAACATACGTTGAAAGCGAGGAATTTCGACATTTTCGACATAGCATTTCAATACTGAAGTGGAGCTGTTAGTTGATACAAAACGAAATACTCGGGGTCAGTTCCAACAAGAAAGCCGGTGATCTGCTACAGCGACCTTCCGATGGCTTCATCTCAAAGCGAAAATGCATCCAAGAATGCAAAGTACACAAGTAGTCAAGCCGAGCTGGTGGACACAAAAATCACCGGAGGAAGATACTGGAGTTCTCTGGAAAAAATCCTGCTCGTATTGGTGATGATATTCTTCGTTGGATTTATTATATTTGTAGCGTTGTATGCAAGCAAACTATCCGATGATGACGATAGCACCACAAGTGTTAAAAAAGGTAAAAATTAGCTCATCTATGGTATTTTTCACATAATCGTGTTAACCATCACCAATTGGCCTCATTGTGTCAGGCACGTTTGGCTCCTTGTCATAAAAGTGATAAAACAACACAGCATATTCTGAAAAGAATCCCTCAGTTCGATATACGATCAGCACCAGCAGTCCTGCGTTATGAAAAACGAAGCATTGTATAGGTTAGGACCGTTAGGTTGCCGTGGTTAGATAATCCATCCAGTTAGTCGTGATTAACAGCAATAATATAAAACTTTGCATAATGTCAAAATAAACCCCTAAAGCATAAAAACGACCAGAGACACATGGACGTCGAGGTGTTGATAAGTGTTGCTATATGATTCTTTAGTATACTAGTATAGAAAGCTTAGATAATAATCAATTTTAATTTCAGTTTTTTTAACCGTAGATGGTATAGCTTTTGCATGTCGAAGAACTTGACTTTCCGTTCAGTTGTGTTTTCTTTATTTAAATAATATTTTCTTTATCTATAAGACTTTATTTGTGTCTGGCCCAACGGATGCAGCTTGCGCTGTTGTTTTAGAGAGGGGGAGAATGTTTAACCACAGTTAATAGAAAATACATGGTTTGGAGACCACATAAAACTACAATACAACTCAATAACTATGTCGAAGTAGATTTATGCAAGAAACTGTTCCTTTCTCATCACATGTCTATTGTATTTTGCACAGACAAAACCAATACCAATTTTATAATTGACATATTTTTCAAGTCAAGGTTGATGAGCTTAGCAAGATGAATGCCATTGGCAAATTTGGCTAAAATACAATAGACACGTGACCAGAAAGGAACCATTTTTTACATAAACCTGAACAACAACAACATAGTTAATGAGTTGTATTGTACTTTTATTTAGTCTCCAAACCATGGATATTCTATTAACTGTGGTTTAACTGAACTCGTTCACACTGGAGACAAAGCGAAGAGGCTTTTAGAACAGGACAATGAGGCTGTTAAAAAACTTCAGACACTGTTAATAGACCTTTTCGGCTTGTATGAAAATTAACCCATTTCAAGTCACATGGTCTGAAATGGTTAAGTTTTATTGGCTATTCCATGGTCACAACAACAACTGAAATGCATGCAAAAGCTGAAAAGGTCTATTAATTTGCACGCAAGCTGAAAAGGTCTATTAACAAAGAAAAAACTTGAGTGGTTGACTGAGTTCGTGTCTCGACTTTCGATGATTCGGTAACACTTTCAGTAAGTGCCCGCTCTTCTCGCTGCTTTTGATCGTCTGGGCGTCCCTTCAACACAGCCTTCAACAAAAAACTGTTTTGAACTTTCAACTCCTAGCCTTTCCGGCCTGTCGTGATTATTATGTTTGAAGAGATTAGTCCATAGATTAGTGTGTTAATTAAATCAATTGATATCTTATCCCAGAGTTTTTATCTGGACGACGCAATAATATAGATATAGGTTTCATAAGGATTTCGCAAGAGTGTAAATATAGCATGTACATATGACGTTGGTTTCGCCGCTTAGGTTTTAATTAATCTCCCTTGAATGTGAGACGAAGCACGTCATTCATACATAAACACTGGAGTGAGAATTACCTGAACGCTATGGTGATTATGCAGGTTTGGCATACGATATCGTATCATTCCTATATGCGAAATACGTTCAAGTATCAAGTTATATATCTTTAACTGCACTTCGCATAGTTAAATCCTAGTTAACTCAGAAATACACAATTCTGTCCTTGACTACAGTTAAAAGTTAACTACTCTTTCACACAACTGGTCTCTGGTTATTGCCTCATACGTTTCTTCAACCATCATATTTATTGACACCTAATTCTTTCGTAGTTTATTTGTAAGGTCAATATTTGCCCTCATTTCACAAAAACATCCAAGAAGACAAAAGAGCAATATATATCGACTTAGAAAAGATCATTTTCACTTTTAGTAACCAATGGAAACAAAAGTCAAGTGGACGAACTATGTTTTACATCCAATTGCATTGGGGTCTCAGCAAGTACGTATCTATAAACACTAACATTTCCCCCCCAAAGTTTGGAAGCTGAGCTTTTCCAGCTCTCTGCTCAGAAAAGACTAATTCAGATTAAAAATATTAAAAAATACTCGGATAAAGCCCATGTTTACGGGCGGTTTTCCAATAGGCGGAGATTTTTCGCTCGATTTTCTTTGTGCGGAGAATTCGACCGTAGCCGATTCCCTTCACCGCTTACAATTGAGAAGAAAATCGAGCGAAAAATTCCGCCTGGTGGAAAACTGCACTATAGTCGGAGAGTCACGGTTATATTTCCATGAAAAATCCCAGCACTACGAGATAAAATTTTGCCTCTGATATTTACATAACATCCGAAGATTCGATGAACCATTGATAACCTCGAGGGAAAGGCCTTATTATAACCTTTAATGGTAAGCGTAGAAACACAAATGTAGTATTTTTTTTGCGTATCCTTTTAAAGACATGCAGCGCCATTTCTGTCGTGATTTATATTTAATGACTTCACAAACCACGCACATTCGAGTTGCTAGTTTTGCAAAAGATAAAAATTATCGCCGTATATTTATCATCACAAACGCTGGAATTAAGCGTGTCGGGAAAATATAAAACCGTTTCACAGCCAACGCTTATACGCAAAGCACGTATTCGGTGTTGTTCCCAGTTCAAGGGTGACACAAGCACGTCAATGGAGTATTTTGAAGTATGATAGGTTATCTAACGCACGTTTTTTGTTCGGAATATCAATCTTGATACCGATAAAGTGGCTGTTATGTGCCGACTATACTGAGTCCGAAGATTAAATTGAACAGGGTTCAGACACATTTCGATAAAGAAGACGGCGTGTTTCACCGTGAGTTTGCATCCAATTTTGCACCCATTGCATGGCTAATGAATCCTGAGCGAAGATAAGCCGAGTTTCAGCCGACATTACGAGCCAAAGGTCAAAGAAGAGGTCTTATACAAAAGCATATTGCATGTCAACCTAATGATTCCCTGTTCTGTCGCAACAAATGCTCTTCGCTGAGCCTAAATATTGCTGAAGATTAGAGCATTAGCATTCCTCAAAGCCATCATCACCGATTCGTCGACTTCGTGCCCAAGAAGAGGCTAAAGAGATATTGACAAAAGATAACCAAACGCCAACGCTGGAATAATAGGAACCGAAAGCCTGAGGTGAAAGAAAACGTGGATCCTTGACGAATCGTAAGGACTAAATAATCGTTCATTTTGCGAGTAGAAAGAATAGGTACGTATACTTTGATTCATGGGAAGATTCTAATATCGAAATATACTATTCAAAATAACAATCCAACTAAACAACGAAGATCAGTAGGTGTCAGACGTTCAAAATACAACTAGGCACTAGGCAGCAGCATATTCGAATAGATTCTTGTCAAATGCGGTTCGCCAACTATCTGAAATTTGCGAGGAAACTTGTACACACTCAGTCATTCCTGAAGGCCTTTAGGTCCTTGTAAATTTAGGTCGTTGCTCAACCACATTCGCCAATCATTTACTGTATACACATTGACAATATAACGACTGCTTTGATATATGATATTCATGCATATAATTTGTGAATTACTTCAGCCTCTAGTGACTATATGGCTTCAACCATTTCTCAACCAACAAAACATATATTCAAATTGTAGACTATACATGTGAACACTGCATGTGTTCCGTAGTAAAAGGAGTCTACAAGTGCACAAAGGAAATGTCTGAATATCTATTAAAGATACAGTGAAATTAATCTGCCGACTTAGTCTATGCCGACTTAGTCAAAATAAGGTTTCGGTGCATTAATACAGGAATGAATTAGAAACGTAAATATATCCAAGACTTCTCTGACGTGTCAGAACTACTCAAATCTTGAAGGCAAAACTATCCATTTTAGACTTTCCATCGCCATAATGTAGAGTATATAATCAAATGATAATTCAGCTGTGCTGTCATTTTATCTTGATCTAATATTTTGTTCTGTCAGACTACATTAAATTATTCATGATGTTCATTTTCACAGCTCGACGAGAAAATAAATAGTTGTACATGCAATCGACAAAGCTTGATTATTGTCATATTTATAACTATAAATTCGAAAGTTTTATATGTATGAAATCATATGTAACTTCAGAAACTTGCAGGTGACGGCCCTGCAGCTGTTCACCGTCTACATTCATCAGGATATGAGGGATCGGGGTTTATCCCATAGGCTCATTTCAATACGTCAAAAGTCAGGTCTTATCAATTATCATTATTCTTGTCTGAACATGTACAAATCTCCCCGGACCTGATTTCTCGTATCTATTACCATTACGAATACAGGTCGGAGTTAAAATAGAAAAATACAGAGTTATTTACGCAGGGCCTCTTAGAGAGACGAAAGGAAAGAGGGGGAAGACTCAAGATAGTAATTTACAGTACGATTAATCAAAAGGGGTAATAAACTGCCCATATGAGGAATTTTTCGCCTCTCAGGCCCGCAAATTTTATTTCAAAGACCCTTCATAAACACATCCTATGTCTAAATACTGAGGGCAACATCGATTTTGCATTGGATCTGAGATATCAAAGCATGTGCAGAAAAACATAATTTTTATTTAACTTTGTTAACAGGTGCCAATGAGTCGACGGGGAGAATCAGAAGAAATATAATTTATTGTTAAGTTCAAAACTAGAACAACTGTGTAACTGACTTTGAAATGCAATAACAGTTTTTCAATCCAGTGAAACAAGAAGTTCCACAAATGCAGTGGAAGTTAAACCGTCAATGATATTTATTTATTACATTCAAACCATCATCGCAATATATCAATCACCTCGACCGTCATCACGCTTATAACGCAAGAGCTTAGTTTATTGTACTTGTTTAAAGAAGTTGTTAGACTTTTAACCGGTGGCATCCAAGACGAATCTAACTCCAGGTTCATTGAAGAATCATCACAAAATATTGCAACATACCAATCTCTGTTTGCTACCGTTCCTGATCAGGCAACAATTTCACAGTTTAAAGACCCTAAAAGCCTCCGAAATTAAACTAAATTAAGTTCAAAGAAAGATTATTCCCAGACAGAGCGGACGTCAAGTGTCAGTCAAAGCTGACTACAGGGGTTTAAAAAGATTTTTGGTGCCTAGGCTACGTCGTATAGCTTCAATATAGTGATACTAGAAACATTCTTGGAAACATTTTGATTCTTGGAGACATCAGGTGTCGCTATTATTCCAGCTTTGAGATTAAAAAGAAGAGTACTCAGGTCCCGAGAGAACTGCCTTTCCGAGAATCATGTCTGCGTCAACGCCGTTCGTTAGTTTGGAAGGCCAGAATGACATGTGGGAAGATAATAATTCCGATGAGTTTTTAAACCCCGACGTACAACCCGAACGAATTCGATACAGAAAGCCACCATTTTTTACCGGGACACATATTGTCGTTGGTGTAGTATTTGGAGTGTTGTTGACGGTGATTATTGCTTTAAGCGTCCTCTTAGCTCAAAAAACTCAAAAAGAAAGCATGGGAACTAGGGAGAAGCTGTGCCTCACCACTGATTGCGTCATAGCAAACTATGGTAGGTGACCTATTCAATATTATAAGTGTTTTTACCGCGCTCATCTAATTCGCCATTCGCCTTATGTCGCGTCCATTAAGCCGATGTGAGTTTCACCGTGAAAATGATCAGTTCTTTTACTGCAGAAAGTGACGACTATTTTATATGCAACAGGTAGAATGTAATGTCTAATACCATTCAGTCACGATAGAGCGATCTGAACGTTTCATTCGATATTCTAATGGAACACTTGAGCATGCGATGATTTCTAACAAGTTTAACAAGTCTGTATGGCAGCGGCGTCAATTTTTATACACTTCATGTTATTTTAGAAATAGTGGGTTTTTGATATTTCTCACCCCCAATCCCCGCGCGAAAAGCTGTAAAAGACCGGTTGATATGGCGGCAATAAAGCTGTGGACAGTTTCGGTGAAAAGCCAGACCCAAACATTTGCGTGCTCAAATTCGTTCAGCTTCAGGGGTCCGTGCAAACGCAGACCGAAATCGTGCTTAAACATGTTCGTGGCTCGTGTTTCTAGCTAACAAGGCTTTGCACGGCTGCTTTTTATCCTTTCTCACTAAATGCTTTCGACAAGCCCGGTTTAATTGTTACCGCTTCTTCTGCGTGTAATTTTGATATCGACAGCTGTGAAACAAAAGCGCGTGAAAAAGCACATGACGGAGCTAATATAATTTCTACTTCAAACCCCCTTGCAGTAAAAATTTTAAAACCTTTCAGTTTTATCAATCCGACCCTGCAGAAAACAACAAAACCTAGATTTATTGTCTCGTGTGCCGGGAATCAACTCCCCTGATTCGGAGAATAATCTATCTGTCTTTCTCCGGCAGTCTTATATTAAATATATAAATACAATATTCCAAATATTGAATCATATTTGCCAATTGCCAGTAATATAAATAATTCGCAATTCAGTTTCATCACTTTAATGCATACGGTAAAATATTTGCATGCGTCTTCGAAATGAAATGAAATGAGTGATCTCACATTCGTTGCATTCTAACAGCTGTTAAACGCAACCAAAATTAATCAAGTCACTGCCACTACACAAGGCTCTGCGAGAAATATACTTCGTAGTTCGTACTAATATTACAATACTTTGGTTTATTAGATTTTACACTAATCTTAATACGTGCATTCAGGTCGAGTGTGTTTCCTGATGCGGTTTTTAAAAAAAAAACAGTCCGTAAACAGTTACCTCTTCTTTATATTCGCATTGACGCATTCGTGTCTGATGGCTTCTTAAGCTTTCTTGTACCTCCACTTATAATGACATACATCCTAAAAAAACCAACAAACAATTTAAATTACCTTACCTTCGTGGTATGCATTCAGAATATATAATGTAATCATGCAGCATTTAATTATTATATGGGCGTGTGAACAGTGAAAGCTCCTATTTTTGAGAAGCAAGTTGACTGTATATTATTACTCCAAGTCTAAACACACACAAAATACACAAGTTTTATAAACAGAAACAGACAATCAATCGCGATGATCCTTTAGCAGATTTTTTTTTCAACAAACTCGTGAAAAGTCTGACTGCTTCGGTGTATTTTGTAAACATGACAGTTCTCAACAAGATTCGGAATGAAAGATTAAACATGACTCAAGGTTTCGTTCAAGGTTATCAGTTTTGTTGTACAACGTATTCGCATGTTTTGAGTAATATTACTGCAGTTGTGAAAAGAAGTTGTCAACAGGGAGAACACGAGATACTGTAAAGGGCACGTAGTCATCATGCTCGACTGTATTTCATCATCTTGTTCTTCACTTGCGATTCTCGTTCAAGCTGTGAGACAACTTCCACCATCGAACAGTTATGTGCAAACAGATCCGAAATTCGAGGGTCTGTCTTGTCAAAAATCCAAACCTGATTAATGCTATATCTTCACAACAATATGTGGTGAATATTTTAACGGACACGTTTGGCATACTTTGCATCTTATTAATGAAACCAAGGTGGAGACATCATGATTCGATGAAAAACGGGGATACACTACGAGGCATGAAAGAATATAGATATCTGAATATCGTTATATCGACTGACTCAGTCCGCTAGTTGTCTTGAAATGTGTAGACGAAAGCATGTATTCTTTTGCGGCATTGTTAGGGTGAAACATATTAATTAAGCTACTATAGAATTTCAATCATTCATAATTAGCAATGCTGCTCGCTTGTCTATCAGCGAGCACATCAGCTCAATTGGCAAAATGATGTCTTCATTTACACGAGCCTCTGACAAAATGAATTGGTCGTAAACATAGGATATCTCTTTTAAACGTTTAAATTTCCCTACAAGCCCAAACGCTCAACAAAATATTGTGTAAATGCGGATGAAGATCGCAGTTATGTTTCCTATTAGTACGCTTGTCTTTCGTAATTTCCCCCCAAGTCTTCCGTCAACATCACGGATTGCAATTGCAATTAGTCATATACTCTCCTGCAAGATTTGTCGAAGAGTTCCCGCGTTGATAGACATTAAAATAAATGGAAACTTATCTCATTGATAAATATAAGCTTATACCCTGATGCACGAGCACTTTTTTCAAGTGGCTTACATTGCGAAGTAGGAATAGTCGAGTGTTACTCTGAGATAGGAATTAATTATAAATCCTGAGAATTATGGCCAGTAAAGGTAATCCACCGTTTCAAAAGAATCAGACGTATAATTTCGTGCTTTCATTTAAATGTTTCGCAAGATAAACATGGGTTGGGAGTCTATTTAATCTATTTTGATTCTATTGCATCTGCTTCGGTTGCTTTGGGCCTATTTTTTGCATTCTATCAACGCTGTTTTCTTATTAAAATATCAGGTTTCTTTCTCTTAATGAAACTGCACTTGCAGAAGCTCCACAGCTCCCAATAAAGCACTCGGATATCCTTATTAAACTTTCATCACCCAAAATTTTCATATGAAAACGCTTGCACACTTAAATCTAAGACCGAAAACATCTGTTACATACAATTTTGTGCAATTTACGTTCAGCCCACACAGTGACGCATTTAATAAGCGCTTATTATGGTCCATTAGCTTGGCTATATGGCCACTTCCTTTTAACTTCATTTTATGGACGAAATGTTCTAGTTTTTCTTGCCTAATCAAGTGAAAATTGTTTACATGGATCGAGTTGACGCGAGTGTTGAATTCGAGGTTCGTGTGTGGTGTTGATCACTGTCGACGGAAAAATCCTTCTTGAAAGACAAAGACTTGATTAGAGATTCAAACTTACTTAAAAATACGTTCTGACAATCGTGAATAAATCTCAGCCTGTTCCCAATTCTATTTCTCTCGCTAGAAAAATACAACTCGATCGGTTACGTTGTAGTTGATATATTACAATTTATTTCACTTTTGCCGCCACTCATGGCCTCGTTTAGGAGTATTTGTTTTCGTATTGTGCGTTTAAAATCAGCTTATAGACGATGAACAAGAAAGTGTGCAAGAGATTTCCGGGGCGAGGTAAACTGGCCACAATTTAAAGCAGCTTTTTAAAATGGCAATCACAAAGTTCACATTAATGATGACATGTCTTCTTATTGCAATCTCTCGACTTCAACTTCAAGGCCACGATACTTGGAGGATAGTCTCTCGATCCACGCAGGATAGCACGAAATAAAGCCTCGACCCTCGATCGTTATTCAAACTCCAAACTCGGCTAATTGCTTAAATCAACGCCTTCAGTATTCGCCAAACGTAAAAACGTCCATCTGCCTGTGTTTAATCGAGACGCGCTCAGAGAAAAATATGGCTTCCCACACAGGGAACACACCGCTCACTGAAGAACCAGCCAATAACAATGGCGATATATTTTTCAACCAGCCCAAATCCATAAAGAAAGTGCTCGACCGTTATATCCGTCAGCGAAATATCTTGCTTGCTACGACTGTCGTGTTGTTGATTGCATTCATTGTATTGCTTGTGTGCTTCATCGTGTTGAAAAGAGATACAATACAGTCAATACAAGCTACAAGAACTTCAAGAAACCTAACAAGAAACCTAACAAGAAATATCACGAAGTCTGACGGGGCCTGCAAAACGCCTAAGTGCATTTCCAATGCGGCAGGTAGGTTCCGCGGCGAACGCAGTTTTACGTGTCAGTTGATTTATAAAGTGTTGTATGACCCACTCAGTGGGTGTTGTGAGAATGCCTATTGATTTTCAATTCTAATGATTTACGACGAACAACACCTACGGCGTGATATTTTGCAATTCTCTTATTATGGCAGCACGCAAATATATGACGACTTGTACAATTGACGGCTTTGTTGACTGGCCTAGTAAGCGCGACCCCCTTACGTCTACAGAACAGACAAGTAGCTCTATAGTTTCAATTGTAAATAAAGCTAGACCATTTTTGTTTGTACATGCACGATAGGGGACGCCTCAAACCTAGTATAATAAAAGTATAATAAAAAGCACTTATGGGTCATGCGTGCGTGAATTTATGGCGAAAGTGCGGTTTGAATTTAAAGACGATATAGTAATTTGTCAATACTTCGAAGTTACATCGATTTCAATTTCTCATGTAATTTTGGAATGCTATGATCCAAGGGTGGTGGGGGATGCGAGCACACTTAACGCGACCCATGAAGATGGGGAAAATGCGCATAGATACGGATGTAAAATTCCTTGGATGGAAGTGAGCGATTTTTTCTATTTTAAAACAAGTTTGCATCTGTTCTACACATAATCGTATAACAAACCATCTGCCCTAATAATAATGTAGGACCCCTCATAAGGCAGGCAATGTATGATATGCCCCATAGGATGTTGACTCAATATATAATTTTAGGGTTTTTTGAACTCGCTCAATTTTTCTTCTTAATTGTTGTTTTAATCGTATCTTCACAAAAATTGTTAACTAAAAGAGAGTTTTAAGAGTTTTATCCCAATATATGTGACAAGGCCGAACGGGAGACACTAATTGCAACAACACGATATGATGGCCATTCAGATAAAGGTGTTTGTCACATCGATTTATCCTTCAAATCAGTTAACGGTTGCCAATTCCTTTGCTGCCTATGCATTCACATTTTCAAATAGCACACATACCTCTGACCCAATTCAGGAAGACGATTTCAGAGATAAATCAACATTTATGAATGACCTCTATGGCTTTACCTTATTTTCACCGCAAAACAAGAAATTCTTCACCTACGATGATCATGCACTTCGTAAAATTTAAAAATGTTATACACAAATTGGGCCATAGTTCTTCTGCCTCGTGTTCAGGAGAACAGGTGCATATAGTATTAGAGACGGCAATATTACCGTTTTTAACTCTTTTTTCGCGCCCGGAATTTCTGCTGGGAATGTAATAATACCATACCAGCATCAAGACGATGATAGAATGGATACATGCAAAACAATCGAGGGGTCATATTAAGCAAACGCACAATTACTTTTCACATAGCCATTTCAGCTGTGACAAACAAAACTATACGATTCGTTCAAAAAGGGCTAAGGCTTAAAAGCTACCGTGCGACAGCAAATGAACTATGAACACATCGAAAACGGTTATGATTCACTCATTGAGAACATTATAAAGGGTACATCAGTTCATAAACATGCAAGCGCTATATAGTCGTTGTCCTATCTATATGCATTATATTCCCATGAAAAACTGTTTCATATTTTATTGTGCGGTTTATTTTGAGGTAATTTGTTTGGGCATGCTGGGCTTTTGTGTCGCGATCACCTGTCGCGAGCTCCATTAAAAGCCTATACTGCACGCTAATAGCTTTTCTGAGCGGTAAAAACACTTTGGCAAAAATGTTGTCACAACATGTCGCAAACATGATATCTACATCAAAAGATTTGCTTATTTCCAAAGACCAATATAACTTATTTTCCAAGAAATGAATGTGTGTCAAATATGACCGCAGGCTAAGCTTACGACGTAGAAAGCAAGTGACAACGAGGGTTATCGACAATTGATGTTATTTCCGTTTTGGTAAAAAAAAACCCCGTCATGCTTTCGCATTTTTGTAATACTATAACCCAAATTAAATTCAGCACTTTCCCGTTATTCGCTGCGCTGTCTGCAGTTTCGGGGGAAGAAATGCTGCTACCCTGCATCAAAGTTGTAATCACATGCACCAATCGTGAACGCCGAGAGATTGTCGTTCCCAGGACATGATGCGCGTGGGTCGTGGATATGACGTGGATCGTGGATGCCAAAAAATGACAAAGACAGATAACAAGAATCATCTGGCAAACGCATTAGGGTCCATTTCCATGATCAGCAACATCGTGACGGAATAAAATAACAAAATGCAATGCATTATAACAGCCCTATGTCGTCGCGATGAGCTAAGGAAAGTAATTGCAAAATATCTGTACAATCATTATCTTCATCTCTTGGGTCAGTGACTATTGCGCTTCAATTCTGCTCGGACAATGAGAGACTCAGTGATTTTAAAATTGCCCGAAATTCGCAATAACTCTATCATTTAGAAATATTGCAAACCAAAATGGTGTTACATATTTTCACTGGACCGCAAGATGCTTTAAAAAATATCGCAGTTTAAAATATCAACAAAGCGTTTGTTTACAATATGGGCTGTGCACCACCTTTAAAATTCCCCCCTCCCGAGTTACATATTGTCGCATTTATCTCTTGCCAAAATGAACACCGCCAGTTCGAGGACCAATTAAGTTTTGGTAATTGAATTGACGTTTAAAGTAAATGTAAGTTGGATGAAATCCATGATAATTGAAAGCTATCCTAAATATGGTTAGTTTAGTTTATTTCTCTCTAATCCTATTACTGTACGGCATTCGAAATATGTCAACCGTTTCCTGACCAATAGGTGCATGGAATTTCCCATAATTTCCCTCTACTTTTACCACCAGAGCCTGGTGTCCTCGATGAATTTCACATAATTTTCTTCTACTTTCTTCACCAGAGCCTGATGTCCTCCATGAATTTCTCATAATTTTCCTCTACTTTCTTCACTAGAGCCTGGTGTCCTCCATGAATTTCTCATAATTTTCCTCTACTTTCTTCACTAGAGCTGATGTCCTCCATGAATTTCTCATAATTTTCCTCTACTTTCTTCACTAGAGCTGATGTCCTCCATGAATTTCTCCGCGAACCCTTGTGAGGACTTCTACAACTACGCGTGCGGGGGTTGGGAACGAGACAACGAAATACCAGACACAGAATCCATGTGGGGCCAGTTCGACATTCTGAATTTGGCGAACGATAACGTTTTAAAGAAACTTGTCAATAATCCGAAAACCAAGGCGGCATATAAAAATGTAAGTACACGTTTCTCGGTCTCGTGCGAACTTCGCTGTAGCCTGTGCGAAACATTGTTCTCCTGGATTTTATAGTAGGTCTTGATTCGTAGAAATTCCAGTGAAATGTGCAAAATTCGCTCGGTAAAATAAAAAGACACTCAAGTTTTGTCTGTCGTCAGACCAACTTGCACCAATTTGAACCGATTTGTTTCTCTTCTCCTTCATGGAGTAAATCCAAGTACAATTTGTTGTTTCTGTGCTGTAGAACGCTGCGGTAAAAAAGGCGCTTCGTTACTACGAGACATGTATGAACAGGGAAAAAATCAACAGCCAAGGCGCCCAACCTCTTCACGACCTGATCAAGGCTTACTACTCGTGGAACGTGACGGGAAATGGAACATGGAATGCAGCATCGTGGGATTTCACCAAAACGATGGTCGATATGCAGAGGAACATCTCCATAAGCCCGTTTTTCATTATGTTTACAGGCGCTGATTACTATAATTCGACTGTTAATGTGATTAAGGTAAAGACTTATCCAGTATAATAACCCATATAACTGTTTGTAACACAAAGAGTGAACACAAATCTACAATCAAAATTTTCCAAAAGCTGTTTTGGACAGTATAATATATATTTTTGAAAAACAGCCGTCCTAACTCTAAAATTTGGTCGTACAGAAATAGCACAAAAGTCACAGCAGAAGTTCAAATTTGGTTTAAGTATATGTTTCTCGCTGTTTATATTTCTTCATAATTTTCGGCAGGTTGATCAAGATGGATTGGGCATGACTAGAGATATCTATCTAAGCAACCAAACAGATCAAGAGAAGGTAAAGATATGTTCTCTTCGTCCCAAAACCATCCAGTGTACTAAATTCGTTCTTGCACAACGTACGTAGATACAAAAGGCATACCAGACGTTGATGATCAAAACAGTTGCACTCTTGGGCGCTGAAGGGGAAGACGCAAAAAGACAGATGATGGACGTTTACGACTTGGAAAAGCAAATTGCAGAGGTGAGTTTTTTGAGTAAAGATTTTAGTTAACGAATCACACCCGACGGAGACGGATGGAAGGGAATTGTATAATTCCACAAAATAAAACGATTTAGCCTATTATGGCATTATTCAGAACGTAGAAAATTAAGGACAGTTAAACAGGTCAACGAGAGCAATTCGGGTTTGACATTTAGTTGCCATGACTGCACCACAGAAATAATAATTTTCAATGCTCAAAGGAGAGTTTCCCTAACAGAGTATTAGCGTTTGCATTTAAATAACACTTCAGTGTTAACAAATGTAAAATGTAATCATGTTTACTTTTTCAGACAACCATTCCAATCGTAGAAAAACGCAACATTGATCAACACTACAAAAAGATGACCATTCGGGAACTGATCAATTACACAGGGGACCAAGTAAGCAATAAACTTCTAGCTCACCGGCAAATAATTATAAGAATTCGTTAGGAAAAAGTGCCTTATCCTTCAAGGATATTACCAAAATGTTCTTTCTTGTTTAGATTGGTTGGTTGAGTTTTTTTAAGAACATATTTGACGGACTAGGATATAAAATGACAAATGACAGCATAGTTGTCGTTTATGCCTTGGACTATCTCAAAAATATTTCGCTCCTGATTAAGAACACAGATAAGACGTAAGTTCTCATTGATTTGAAAACGGCAATGATACCTCCATATACAATAGAAAATCAATGTCTCCAGTGTTCCTTAACCACCAGTAGTAAACAAACAAACTAAAGTTGGCAAAATGATTTTAGTATTGTAGCCAACTATATGATGTGGCGGGTTGTCTCAGGTTACATGTCCGAGCTATCGGAAGACTTCAAGAAAATCATCTTGGAATACAAGAAAGCCAAGAGCGGTACAGTAGAAGAAGAGCCACAATGGAGACAATGTCTGTCTTCCACAGCAGGAGCGTTTGGGATGCCTCTCGGACTGTTGTATATCAATGAGAAGTTTAGTGGAGGAAGTAAAGAAAAGGTAGTTTCTCTTAGTTAATCTTACAGTCACCTTCGTATAAAACAACCTCGTTTCACGACTTCACCCTCCCCACGCTGTAGCTCTCTAGCATGCAACGAAAAAGCTAACCAGAAAACAGTTTATCGCTTCATTATCAATTTCAATGAAGAATGAACATGAGAAAAAATTTGCTCACATTGAGATTGAATCGCTGTCAAAGGAGTTACTACAATAGATCTATTCTTGAATCTTTTGAATGGACCAACGAAAATGTACGCGATTCCCATGAATAAGATAGGCCATTTGCACACCACAGACTATTTTATCCTTCTTATTTGGTTTCCTGACAACAGATAATGCAGTTAATTAGAGAAATCCGTGAAATTTTCATCTCAAACTTGGACAGCGTTGAATGGATGGATGACAAGACAAGGAAAAGTGCAACAGAAAAGGTATTTATTGACACAATGATGTTTCTGACCCGGGGCACAATTAAGAGATGATACACTAAGGAACCAACATTGAGATTGGGGGGGGGGGATTTGCATACACACACCAGATTTCCAAGATTTAGTCAAAATATTGTGCTGTCAACATCGTTTAAAATTCTGCACAGGGTAGCACATTCCCTGAACCACAGCTGAATTTAGTGTAACGATACAAGATAAAAAAATATTACAAGGGAGTAATTCTCCCACTAGCTTGCTACTAATTTGAATATTTATCATTGAAGGCTAATGCAATCTTGGAAAATATCGGCTATCCTGATTATCTCAAAAACAACACTGCTTTGGATAAGAAATACGATGGGGTACGCTGGTTACCGGTTTTACAGCAATGCATAATTGTTTATTTCCACTTTATTTTTATATATACTTTAATATAACAAGTCTGTCTTCACCCCACAGCTCCAACCTACAGACGATCATTTCAAGAACGTTTTAAAGAAAAGTGCGTTCTTCATGAAGCAGTACTACGAAAATATCAAGAAACCAGTGAATAAGAAAGAGTAAGCTGAATATTGCGTTCATCATTGATAAATTTAATACGAATTGACAGTGTTCGAGCGACGGTCTCTTTCAGGCCAATCCCTCACTTCAGCCTCAGGGCTACTTAAGTTTAAAAAGAGGTTTTTGTGATTCTCAAGTTTATGTACTAGTCTAATGGTCTTTCTACAATATTTTCTTTTACTTCATTTAAGATGGAGTATGGATCCCCAAGTAGTAAACGCATATTACTCGTCCACAAAAAATAAAATAGGTAAGATTTATATCTTAATGTACATCTTATATATAGTTGTGATAAAGACTACAGGTTACTTTATTGTTAATCAAAGCAGCGTTTTAAAAATGGTTTGGGATGAGCTCGCACATGGTTGCCGCCAACATTGGTAATGATGTTGATGTACCGCGCGCTTGAGCCTGGGATGAAACCGTGAATAAATAAATAATATACTGCTGTATACGGCTAGGACACAGGGTCTCTTAAAAGTGCAGCTATAGACAATTAGACATGTTTCGAAAGACAGTATGTTACATACCTACTAAGGGCATAAGCTATCAAAAAATGCAGACCTCTCATTATCAGGTCTAGAACAAAATTGGTCAACAAACAAGTTACCATGAGATACCCCAGCCCTAGCGAACTGAGCGTAGCAATAGTAAATCTTATACATATATACCTACATTTTTCTCCTCAGTATTTCCAGCTGGTATTTTACAATCTCCGTTTTATAATAAGGATCGCCCAAGGTAAAATATATATTATATTTGTGTTTCTTATTCCATGATACAATAATTGAAGAGAGGATCTATATGATTTCTAATTACACGTATGTATTCAATTTCATCCGTAAAGAGCGTTGAATTATGGCGGTATTGGAGCTGTTGTTGGTCACGAGATTACACATGGTTTTGATGACAACGGTAGGCGATGCACGGAGGATACCTTATGAAATAACCAAGCTCTCGACAGCAACATTTGATATAGATATACGCAAGATATCCATTTGACCATTGTGAGCATTATTTAATCAATTTTTCTGTTACCAGGACGACGATTCAACAAGAACGGTAACCTTGTAAAATGGTGGAGCAATCACTCTATCGAAGCTTTCAAGAATAAAACAAAATGCCTTATAGATCAGTATTCGTCGTATAAATTCTTCGGGGAGAACGTAAGTGGCTTTGTGGGATTGCGCCGTACATAATCTTTGTATACATAATGTGAGACAAATATTTCTTGTTACAAACTCTTGCAGGTCCAAGGAGCCCAAACTGTTGGTGAGAATATTGCGGATAACGGTGGAGTCAAACAGGCCTATCAGGTTTGTATTTACAAAATGACTGATTAACAGCATTGCCCTGCTCTGAGATAATTCCTTTGACGAAAATCTGGTATGACTCGCTTTTGCACAGGGTTCCTTCACTTCCTTGTCAAGGAAAATTTGTCATTTTAACTGTTTCCCTTACTCAGGCGTATCAGACGTTTAAGAAAAACTACGGAGATGAAGGAATACTTCCAGGACTTAACGCTACGAATGATCAACTATTTTTCCTTGGATTTGCACAGGTAAAGCACATTTTATCTGCTGTCAGTCGTATATGGATCAGATCACAGTTACCCAGACCACCTAAAATTGAAGGGTAGTGTCGCAGCTCCTCGCAAGAATGATTTTCATTGGCTGCACTTTACAATACATTTCTGGTTTCAACCAATAGCATAGCTTCGTTCTTTAGAAAGCATAGAAAAGCATTATCCAAGCATTATGTCCCAAATTGCACCGGTGAAATTACTTTTGTATTTTATAGGTTTGGTGTGGTAAGTTCCGGAAACAAGCAGCTTTGAACCAGATTAAGAATGGGGTCCACACTCCTGGGAAGTACAGGTAAATTAAGTAGCCAAGTGATGTGTGTTGAATGGCCAAGTTTCCCTGCCCGAAGGGCATTAAAACAATTTTTATTTTCAAAACTTTTTTCTTCAGGGTTATCGGTACGCTATCAAACTCTGAATATTTTGCGAAAGCTTTCAACTGCCCGAGAGGAACCAGAATGAATCCAGAGAATAAATGTGGCGTTTGGTAAACTAACATAAAAATTGATGAACACTTGTTTAACTGTTGTATAGTAGGCATAATTAGGTGTTTATACGTAAAATCTTTTATAAGATATCTTCAAAGCACGTCCGACTATGATCTTTTAACAGTCTTCGCATAAAAAAGCAATGCGAATGTTTTTTTTTTGCTAACTTTGGGTCAAACTTCTGGCTCCGAGGGATTACTAGTTTCAAACACTGTCATCCAAGATTGGCAGTTTGTGCTAACCACTTCAGTCTTCACATCCATGACCTTCACATTACATTGTGCCATTATCTTTGTTTATTAAAGAAAAATTGGGTTTAAAAAGCACTCCTGTCAATATTGACCAACGCTTGACACATCAATCTTATGTCCAATGTCCATAACGCGACTACACAAATTTGATGTTTGATCTAGGCTAGGACTATATGCACCTTATCAAAAACAATGTTGGTTTTCCCATTCGAAAACTTAGTTAAGAAAACTTTGACAATGCATGTAAATGTCAATAACACTTTTAATTCATTAAAGTCAACCATTTATTGGAGGCAACTTGAGGCAACATAAGGCATGTAAATCAGAATGAGTTGATGTCTTTTGGGGAGTGCGTTCATACACAAACTTGCATGCACGTTAGTTAAATTACTGTTTAAATGATTTTCCTCTTTTAGAAGATTTTATAACTGATGTTAAATATGATTTTTGAACGAAATATACCTGTTCAATTATAAGTATAAATTTGAAATATAAGTAGAAATAGCTAAAGTGTGTTGTACAGTAATTTTAAATAAGTCAATTTATTGTAATTATGCACGAATTAAAGTATAATTATTTGTGAATTTGTTGTGTGTGTTGTTAAAGAATTTTTAAAACTCTTATACAAAATATAAATCCTATTCCTGACTTGTAAGGGCTAAGGCCAGACCACTGGAATAAGTTAATTTTGAAATTAAGAGGCCCAAATCGCTTTTTCTTAGACGCTTTTAAGGAAAATTTGGGTGGTACAAGTGGCAAAAGGTGGTACAAACGTACAAGTACAGAGATATTTTATTCATTACTTCGCCAGTGAAACTACTTTACAATGCTCAATAACCATCTTTCACATTTCAGTATATTTTACATTCTACGGTCCAGTAATGACTTATGCTCGCGGTGAGAAAACGTAACTTGATTTATCGGATCAATTTTTCAGCAGCCATCCCAAGATTCTGTGTTTTTCTTGACCTGTTCTTCTTCATTCAAAAAACATCGTTACGGAATTCCAAAACCCAGAATTCTCACATTTCACCACATTGAGAAATAACCACAGGCAGTTTAGGACGGTTGTTTGGACCAACAGGAACATTCTGCATCGTGAAAATAAATGATGGGCATTTAAAGTGAAAGAACCCATTCAAAATGGTGTAGTAAATACAAATAAACCATGAAGCAATATATTGCAGTTCTAAGGCATTAGAATTATTAAAAATATATCATTTTTATAAAATTTTGAATCAATTTACAAGAACTGCTTGAAGCAGGCTGAAGTAAAACGTTTACCTCAATTTTTCTCATAACTAGTAATCCATCTACAACTTTACCTATGGCAATAAAGTTTGACTTTTGAGCATGGTGTGAGTATTGTAGTCCTAATCATTGGGCTATTTGTATCATAAGAACTGATGGAATTTTGAAGAACAAGAACAATGTAATCACATATTTAAGAGAATACTGACACCAGTAATTTTACCTACCAAAAACAACATGCTTTCCATCAAGGAAATCACACTTTGCACAAGTTATAAAAAACTGCAAGGAAAAGGGTCGAAGACCTAAATATGAAGTCTTTTATATCTTAGAACTTGCACATATCACTTCTAACAAAATCAATTCATATGATGAACATTCATTTACCTGGCAGCCATTAGTATGGGCACCACTGTTTGCCTAATAGGAATTTTTACAGTCATGAATATATTACAAATTATTTATACCTGACCCCAATAGTTAAAATACCTAAAATACTTGCCATAGATAATAAGCCAGCCTTGTCATGTTTTAGTTTGAAATTCTCATCTGAAAAGGCAACTCCACCATATATGCTACAAACCCCTGTTCCATCACCCTTGAAGTTATTTTAAAGTGAATGTTGGTTGTACGTTATAAGGTAACTTACAGCTAATTTTTTATTTAAATATTTTTTATTGCTAAGATTTTCATATAATTTAAAAAGAAGTAAACACAGGCTTTTGTGTTATAAAGTATTTTTACCTTCATAAAATCACCTCCCTGCACCATAAAGTCTTTAATGACTCTTAAGACAAAAAATACAACAGAATCCTTTTGAGCAGCCAAAAATCACATTTCTTTTCACATAGCACAACCTTTTTAGCCAAAAAACATATTGGTGGAGGATATGTACCTATGGAATGTAGCACTTTTGAATCCAATTGGAACACCATCCTTTCTGGTAGAAAAAGGTAAACAAAAACCTAAGATTTTAAAGCCACATAATATTGGCCACACAATTGTAAAAAATAATTTCAATCATACTCACTTATATTCCCCAGTACAAAACTGCCTGCAAAATGAAAAGGCAAATCATTCCAAATAAAAACACTCTCACTCAAGCCTTGTGTTGACTTGTTATGCTTACTACTCATATGGGGAGGGGAGGGGTCATGCACCCACATCCTTTAATAGGAAGGCTTGGAGAGTCATTCTCTTAACCTTTTCAAGATAACTGTTGCACAAAGACTAGATCCAAATAGAGACGAAATGGGCAATGAAAAATAATTCTATATAATTTATAACTGCTAGTAATAATTTTCTAATTAGGTGACATGCCCCCCCCCTAACTTTACCCACACACTAAAAGAATTTGGCCCTTATTTTAACTCACCTAAAGTTCTCTGCTGTTTTTGGAACAACATCAGCAAATAACTCCATTTTCATTCTGCCAACATCCTAAATATATTATACCAAAATTTTTACGGATTACCAAACACGTGTTCAATAACAGGCAAACACGAGCAATTTAAAGTCTTGGAGAAAAATAATACCACATCCATAATGAGCAAATGATAAATAAATTAGCTTTAAACAATTCATGAAAAGATATACTTTTACGTATCCTTACCTGACCTCCAATAGAAATATCAAAAAATACCACTGGATTGGCCGCCATCTTGAAAAAACTTTACTCGATACTTTATGTAGTCACACAATATAGTGTATCGATTATCTCTGCCGCTACAGTCGACTTCCATCTCATTTCAATAAAAAAACTTTGCAATTCATCTATGTCAGAAAAAAAATACAGAAGTATATTCAAAAGCGTGCGAATATATGTTCGACAACCTCCCAGTCCAACGAAATTTAATTCAATTTCCTGTTACACTGTAACCGAGAACGAGTACCAATCCAGTAATCTGCTACATGTACAGAGGTCAGTGCTAACAAGAACGAGGATAAATGGGGATACCCCCGGTTGGGATCCCCGGGTAAGTCAAGAGAACGTTTTTTATGCATGGGGTGTTTGAGCTATTTGCATGTTTGATGATATAATCCTTGCTTGTTAAGAACGGCTATAAACTACTTGACGAAGATACCAGGGTATAAAGCCCAGACGAATGCACAACATCGATAAAAAATAACGCATTTGTAGCATACACTGGAACCGGGGGCATCTTACTGCTCGATTCCGACACTGCAAAACCCGGGGAAACTACATTTTTAATTACAAGACCAAACAAAAGCAATTATATAACTCGTAATTATAACTCTACCGCCCAGTACCGACTCACTATCCCTACCATAGACGTCGAAGAACAACAGCACTCGGCTCTAAATTTCAAAGATGTCTCGTGTAATAACCGTTTTTGGTGCAACAGGCTTGCAAGGTGGAGGAGTTGTCAAAGCACTTCTTGCTGGAGGAAAATTCAAAGTGCGAGGAGTAACTCGGTCTGTTGAGGGCAAAAAAGCGAAGGAGCTTGCCGCCAAAGGTGTTGAAATGGTTGAAGCCACTCTGGACAAACCAGAGTCCTTGCATAAGGCAATAGCAGGCTCACACGGGGTGTTCTTGCTCACCAATTTCTGGGATAGCATGGACGGAGCTCGTGAGACAACACAAGGGAAAGCCGCCGTTGATGTTTGCTTGCAAGAGGGTGTCAAACATTTGATCTATAGCGGCTTGGAAAGTGCACAGAAGATGTATGGTTTTGTTGTAGGTAGGCAGTTCAATCTGCATGATTAAAGGTCATTTCGACACTTCTCACAAAACCGCTTTCTCCCATTTGGATACATTTGTAAAACATCGGCCTTTCGAGGGGATTATTATGTTGAAAAAAACGGGAGTTCAACTGCATAACTTGGCGTTGTTTACATAAGGAAGATTATGAGGTCGAGAGATTATGTTGCAATCTTGAGACATGACATTTTCTCATATGCTCTAGACTATAAAGACTGCGCAAGAAGAACTCCATTAGAGGCTCAGTCGTAGGTTTTGTTTTGAGTATTGAAGTGCAGCATCTAATTTCGTATTATATTGCACTATAATTCGTTCCTGCCGTGTCGTCAATATCATAAGTCATAACACCGTGTATTAAATTATAACGCCGATAAACGGTCACATTCACTGGTTGTTTTAACAGACAAGGCCTCGTGTCTTCGACTTAGTTCATTGAATTTCGGATATGTATTTGTACGATGCTAGAATAGCGGCTAATCGGTTACAAAATAGTTACACGATTGATGATTCGAAACACTTGTGATTAGGAATTTATCAACAATTTAAATACATACAAAATTACTGCATACCGACGCTGGGTTTGTTGGGGGGCTTGGGGCCAAGCCAGTTGCCATATATAGCTTCTCCTGCCAGTTACTGAGGGCCTGGGCTTTAAAGTGTTGTAAATAACAGATTTGCTAAACGGCCGTTTTCTATTCGATAAAACTTGGTGCCTACTCTGGCCGAGGACGGCTGATGTTAATAAGTTGACCTTCTGGCCCAAGCTGTCGAAGTTGGTAGAGCATTGCCTCATCTGCCTGCATTGAAACCTGTTCTGTGTTTTTTTCCTCTTCGTGAAAACATACAGTGCAACTAGTTGAATCTGACACTAACCAACAATATCGTTGCATTTAGAGCACTTCGACTCGAAAACCAAAGTTGAAGACTATATGAAGGAGAAAGCAGGGTCGATGATATGGAACAGTGTAAGAATGCCAGCGTATATGAATAATTTTCTGGTGCCTGGTTCAAGACCACAAAAGCAGGAGGATGGTACATACACCCTGAATTACCCAATGGAAGGAAAACCAATGTATTTGATGGACGTCACTGATCTTGGAGAATGTGTTGCAAGTAAGATAATATAATACATCGCGGTCGTCTTTCAGAGTTGCAAAAAGAGTTCAACCTTCCTCCGGTTGGATTTCAAGTTTTGAAAACCTTCCTCAAAATGACGTTACGTCACTGAGTCATGTAGCAACCAGCATAATGAAAATTTTGGTACAAGAATGTGATCAAAGTAGTGTTCAACTTTAATCCTTCCTCACAAACCTCATTCAAAGCAAACCTTCCTCACGGGTGGCACCCGCGTACCCGCAGCTTTTTTGCAACTCTGTCGTCTTTGTTACTGCGGTCTTGATTTGTTGATGCTAACGATCATGATTGTTATGTGACCACGATTGTGATTGTGGTAATAACGGATCGTAATGGTAGATTTTCCTCTTTCACAGGTATATTCAATGACCCAGAGAGCTACGCTGGTCAAATGATCGAAGTGTCTACCGAGTTTTTGACAATAGAGCAGTTATGCGAGGTTTTGAGCAAAGTTCTAGCCCCAAGAGTTTTCAAGGTGAGACAAACCAGGTTGGAGGCTGACATGGACTTACAACTATGCAATCGAAGCATAAATCCTAAATTTGAGAAATGCTTCAGTCAAAATCGGACTTAGGAACTTACTGCTATTTCTAATTTCACAGGATTCCAAACTAACGACAGACCAGTTTGCCAAATTTGGGTTTCCCGGGGCGGAAGAAATGGCAGCCATGTTCAAGCTATACCAAAAAGGAATTGAGCGTGATATTGCGCTCACAAAGAAATTGAATCCTAAAGCAAAATCTTGGGAAGAGTTTGTTGTTTGCCACAAAGCAGACTTTGAAAGTTTCTTGTAAGATTTTTTCTTGAGCCTGCATGGCCAAAACGAGGATCTTCTGTCGTTTAGAAATATCGCACTGCTGTAATAAATACATTGGTCTTTTTTTATGTCTGTGTTACAGCTTTTTGTCAGCAAGCGCATTCCACGTTAAAACTGTGAAAACTTTCATTTTGCTCTCCTTCCGACTTATGTATACACTTTCCATCTGTCATTTCGTTATCTGGCAGTTCCTGACAACTACAGTCGTATTTATTTATAGCCAACCAGTCTCGTGTGTTTCCTGCTTCAACAAAAGAGTTTTTTATGACAGATGAGGAAACTTATTATCGTACTTTCCGACTTGAGAGCTCTTATCTAATAACTATGATTGATCATCATTCTTCAATGAGTCTGTTTGACCAGAACTGTCTCACAGTTCAAGGGATTTTCGTATTGATTCCCACACGACGACGGTCGTTCAGTGATATTCTTTGTCGATAGCCTAAGCGACCCCCAAGTCTTGCGGGGGTTTTCCCACAAAAAATGCACGAAGACAATGCGAATTAAAGCTCGCACAACTCTTAGTGAATATTCCATGCACTTCACAAACTATAATATCCTACTTAAATTCAGTGTAAAGACAGGCGCGGTTGTCTAGCTTTCAGTGATTGATTGACGAAGAGATTTCGGTGCTATACTGAGAAATACAAGCCGAACAATACAAGCGAAAACAATTGGTCTCACAGGCCAGCTGAAAGTTAGTAAAAACAAGACGCCTGTTCTGGCGTCAAATCCGGCGTGCCGCGCACGTGCCAGTCTTTAATATTAAGCTTCTGAACATAAACAGTACAGTTCATATTCATTTAGATGCCTTGCGAACCTAAATGTTGTTCGATCGCGAAATTCAGAAGCACATCGTGCTTTAAAAAGTATAGAAGTTCAATTGTTCAAAAATGTAAATAACCGCATGATACATTCACTTTCTCTTACACGAATCCCTGCTTTTCAACTTTCAAAAATATCTGATCAGAAAAGAGTCTGCACTGCTTTTGATACACCCTGTTAATAAAGTAATTATATAACTTACTTTTACCATCAGTTGATTCGGATTTCCACAGGATGTTGCGATAACACACGTTCGTTCGTTGATGCTTCATCGCCGATGACAAGATTAGGTCAGAAGTGAGCATTTTCTTGCACAACTGAGCCATGTGCAAAATCCTACACGTTATGCTTGATCACGTAGGATTTTTGTTGGATTACACCAGCGCTGACTCTTGGATTTTGTTGAAAGGATTGTTGCACTTTGTTGATATTTTTACGATGCTTGCTCTCATACAGAAAGTCCTGCATTCCGATTTAAGCTAATAGCTGGTGTAAAAAATTTAGCAAAAATGTTTTAAAACGGTTCTGGTAGACGACGGTCGGAAATCTGTTTCGTCAACGTTCGGCGATCCGCCGTGGGCTCAATTCTTATCGTCTAGGATTCCAGCACCACGAGGCTACGTTTTTCAGCTGTGAACTGCCCAGCAACCATGATGAAGCATATATGAAGCATAAATTCAAATCCACATTTCAGTAATATCGAATTAATGTTTGCCACGGAGAACTTACTTTACAGTCATTTCGTTTTAATACACTTGATCAAGATTTGACCATTAATTTCCAATTGTTAAAAGTTTATTACACCGTCATTGATACTACGTGGATAGCAGCTAAATTGGAACGAAATTCTATAGCCAGCATTGTTAACTTCTTATTTCATCTGTAATATCCGCTGTATTTCCATAAAAAGTTGTTTAATTCTCACTTTCCTCACGCGGTGACATTATTTGGGACGCTCTGTATATACGTCCAATGCTGCACGATATTAATTATGTACCAGATGAAATATCAGCATTTTATGAAGATGCTCCTCCCTTATCTCACGTGGCCTTTCAGCAATCTTGATTTAGAGCGAATGTTAGTGCAGTCTTCTGGTCAAATGCACTTTCAGTTCAATGTTTCTTTCGACTTCTCTCGACGATTTGCCAATCTGTACAGCTCTTCTTTGTGATGCCCTTATCCACGATCGCTCATCATAAGATTTCTTACTGTTTTCGTTATAATCTGTAAAAACACAACAGTAACTAGCGAAAACGTACAACGGCACTTAAACAAGAAATTATTGGTCTAATTGAAAAATGGACGCTACCAAAAAAATGAACACTACCGAAAAAAAGAACGCTATCGAAAAAACGAACGCTACCAAAAAAATGGACGCTGTCGCAATTTAGCGAAACGAAAAGCCATATCAACAAACAAGAAAGTACTTTTGGCATATTTCAGCATACCTTCCGCCGTTAACAGGGGACCTTAAGTTTAGAGAAATGAACGCTGCCGAAAAAATGAACGCAACCGAAAAAATGAACGCAACCGAAAAAATGAACGCTACCGAAAAAATGGACGCTGCCGAAAAAAAAGAACGCTGCCAAAAAAAATTGACACTGCCGAAAAAATGGACGCTGTCGCAATTTAGCGAAACGAAAAGCCATATCAACAAACAAGAAAGTACTAGTGGCATATTTCAGCATACCTTCCGCCGTTAACAGGGGACTTATACGTTTGGAAAAATGAACGCTGCCGCAATTTAGCGAAACGAAAAGCCATATCAACAAACAAGAAAGTACTAGTGGCATATTTCAGCATACCTTCCGCCGTTAACAGGGGACTTATACGTTTGGAGAAATGAACGCTGCCGCAATTTAGCGAAACGAAAAGCCATATCAACAAACAAGAAAGTACTAGTGGCATATTTCAGCATACCTTCCGCCGTTAACAGGGGACTTATACGTTTGGAAAAATGAACGCTGCCGCAATTAGCGAAACGAAAAGCCATATCAACAAACTAGAAAGTACTAGTGGCATATTTCAGCATACCTTCCGCCGTTAACAGGGGACTTATACGTTTGGAAAATGAACGCGCCGCAATTTAGCGAAACGAAAAGCCATATCAACAAACAAGAAAGTACTAGTGGCATATTTCAGCATACCTTCCGCCGTTAACAGGGGACTTATACGTTTGGAGAAATGAACGCTGCCGCAATTTAGCGAAACGAAAAGCCATATCAACAAACAAGAAAGTACTAGTGGCATATTTCAGCATACCTTCCGCCGTTAACAGGGGACTTATACGTTTGGAGAAATGAACGCTGCCGCAATTTAGCGAAACGAAAAGCCATATCAACAAACAAGAAAGTACTAGTGGCATATTTCAGCATACCTTCCGCCGTTAACAGGGGACTTATACGTTTGGAGAAATGAACGCTGCCGCAATTTAGCGAAACGAAAAGCCATATCAACAAACAAGAAAGTACTAGTGGCATATTTCAGCATACCTTCTGCCGTTAACAGGGGACTTATACGTTTGGAGAAATGAACGCTGCCGCAATTTAGCGAAACGAAAAGCCATATCAACAAACAAGAAAGTACTAGTGGCATATTTCAGCATACCTTCCGCCGTTAACAGGGGACTTAACGTTTGGAGAAATGAACGCTGCCGCAATTTAGCGAAACGAAAAGCCATATCAACAAACAAGAAAGTACTAGTGGCATATTTCAGCATACCTTCCGCCGTTAACAGGGGACTTAACGTTTGGAGAAATGAACGCTGCCGCAATTTAGCGAAACGAAAAGCCATATCAACAAACAAGAAAGTACTAGTGGCATATTTCAGCATACCTTCCGCCGTTAACAGGGGACTTATACGTTTGGAAAATGAACGCTGCCGCAATTTAGCGAAACGAAAAGCCATATCAACAAACAAGAAAGTACTAGTGGCATATTTCAGCATACCTTCCGCCGTTAACAGGGGACTTATACGTTTGGGAGAAATGAACGCTGCCGCAATTTAGCGAAACGAAAAGCCATATCAACAAACAAGAAAGTACTAGTGGCATATTTCAGCATACCTTCTGCCGTTAACAGGGGACTTATACGTTTGGAGAAATGAACGCTGCCGCAATTTAGCGAAACGAAAAGCCATATCAACAAACAAGAAAGTACTAGTGGCATATTTCAGCATACCTTCTGCCGTTAACAGGGGACTTATACGTTTGGAGAAATGAACGCTGCCGCAATTTAGCGAAACGAAAAGCCATATCAACAAACAAGAAAGTACTAGTGGCATATTTCAGCATACCTTCTGCCGTTAACAGGGGACTTATACGTTTGGAGAAATGAACGCTGCCGCAATTTAGCGAAACGAAAAGCCATATCAACAAACAAGAAAGTACTAGTGGCATATTTCAGCATACCTTCCGCCGTTAACAGGGGACTTATACGTTTGGAGAAATGAACGCTGCCGCAATTTAGCGAAACGAAAAGCCATATCAACAAACAAGAAAGTACTAGTGGCATATTTCAGCATACCTTCCGCCGTTAACAGGGGACTTATACGTTTGGAGAAATGAACGCTGCCGCAATTTAGCGAAACGAAAAGCCATATCAACAAACAAGAAAGTACTAGTGGCATATTTCAGCATACCTTCTGCCGTTAACAGGGGACTTATACGTTTGGAGAAATGAACGCTGCCGCAATTTAGCGAAACGAAAAGCCATATCAACAAACAAGAAAGTACTAGTGGCATATTTCAGCATACCTTCCGCCGTTAACAGGGGACTTATACGTTTGGAGAAATGAACGCTGCCGCAATTTAGCGAAACGAAAAGCCATATCAACAAACAAGAAAGTACTAGTGGCATATTTCAGCATACCTTCCGCCGTTAACAGGGGACTTATACGTTTGGAGAAATGAACGCTGCCGCAATTTAGCGAAACGAAAAGCCATATCAACAAACAAGAAAGTACTAGTGGCATATTTCAGCATACCTTCCGCCGTTAACAGGGGACTTATACGTTTGGAGAAATGAACGCTGCCGCAATTTAGCGAAACGAAAAGCCATATCAACAAACAAGAAAGTACTAGTGGCATATTTCAGCATACCTTCCGCCGTTAACAGGGGACTTATACGTTTGGAGAAATGAACGCTCCCGCAATTTAGCGAAACGAAAAGCCATATCAACAAACAAGAAAGTACTAGTGGCATATTTCAGCATACCTTCCGCCGTTAACAGGGGACCTTAA